CACAAAATAATGTTCTTTTTAGCAGCATCATATGACCCCTTTAAGTATTAAAGCACAAATGAGAGTGTGATATAAAACCATAAGGTGTTAATAACGTAACATTTTTTTACATAACATTGCCAGTTATTTTGTATGTTTCCCCTAACAAAAATACAGAGACAAAGTAGCATTAGTGCACAATAGTTGTTCTAACTTTCTGAATGAGTCATCGTGTTGAACAAATCACAAAACAGTGAATGTCCCAGTATCTGTAAAAAGTGAAAATGTACATAACCTTAAAGAGCTATTACCTGATCTGTCCTAAAAAAAAATTCACTGGAGTAACTTCTTGTAGTTGATGTAGACAAAATAAATTTGCACTGACATGATATCATTTGAAGTGCCAGCTGATCTTATTGGCTCTTCTTTTTATTTTACTCACTCGACCCTGAGGTTGCTTAGACACTGGTGAACAGGGCAACACTTGGATGCATTGAAGTGAATGCCAATGAATGAATGCCTCAGCCCAGGAGATGCCAGATGGGCTGATGTCAAACTAGTCAAAGGTCACACAATGACAGCACAGTGAGCATCACATGGGTGTTCAGAGTGTTATTGTCAGTGTTAAATTCATCCATCCACCATCTGCCATTGTGACTAGCAGGGGTAAAAAGTGACAGAAGCAGCAGGATTTGGAGCAGGACAGTCAATCATGTCAGGTATCGCTGACACATAGAAATAAATACACTGTGTGCCATAAATGTTGTGGAAAACCTATTAACCAAATAGACTTGTGTAAAAAGATTTTGAAATAAAAGGACATTTTCAAAGTATCTTGAGTGATAAAGGTAGCCATCTTAGCATAAATGATTAGGAATAGGTCTATGACAAACTGAAGCTTTGTGGAAAAATCAGGATGGTTTGGAAGCAGACAGTTTTGCTTCATAACACATTATATTTATTTATTTCTGACTCTATGTTTGATGGAATTGATTTTCATGAACCGTGGATTAAGATAAAAAGTATTTTTTGCTTAAATGTTCCAGCATTTCCACGTAATTAAAGAGTTTACTCATGCAGCTATGGTCGTATTTGCAACGTCTGCGATTTCTGCAGTTTTGTGGGTGGGTTGCCTTTTATAGGAAGTAATGGATAGCAATGTTTGGCATGTGAAGGGGCCAAAATGCCACCCATTCAAAAACAAGCTACTGCAGTTGTACAAATGGTCTCTAAGGTGAATTTCACAAAGCTTGTCAAGAGAATTTCACCCCAGAAACAAGAAATTATAAATTATTTTATTGTAATAATATTAAAGAAATAAGAAATTCTAATTTGTTTAAATAAAATTAATTTGATATCAAT